TTTTCCCCCTTTGAGAAAGAAGATCCTTGTCCCTGAATTGTGTCACACCTTACACATTTTCAAAGATCACTCTTGAGATGTAATCGTGTAAGAGTATCCATTGTAAATATTTACCATGCTCCCTTCTCTCACCCCTGTATGTCCAGGACAGGTCTGTCATCATGCCTGGGATCCTTGACTGAATGTGTGACCCTCTGAGATGTAAGCAAGGACAAGGTCTTGGATCCAGGGGTGCAGGTGCTGACAGCACACTGTGTTCTGAAGGTGGGGGTTCTCCTTCAGAGATGGCAATTGCCTTTAGTAGGTGCATCCAATGTGACACAAGGCCCCTGCTTGCCTCAATCCGGGAACACAACATGCATAACCCAGACCAGGTGAACCCTGGACAAATAGACTTGCAGTGACAGTAGGGATGTGGGAATGGAAAATAAGCTGACCAATGGGGTCGAACATGTGGATTATACATGGTGAGAATGCAGAGAAAGAGGTCATCAGGAATGGGAAGGATGGGTCTGACAGTCATGAACGTAAGACTGGCAATTCTGAAGTGTGTGTGTGTGTGTGTGTGTGTGTGTGTCTGTCTGTCTGTCTGTCTGCCTGTCATGGGGCCTGAACTTGGCCTTGAGGCTGTCCCTGAGCTCTTTGGCCCAAGGCTACCACTGTACCACTTTGAGTGAAAGCACCACTTCCAGTTTTCTGGTGGGTAATTGGAGATAAGCGTCTCAAGGACTTTCCTGGCCAGGCTGGCTTTGAACCACAGTCCTCAGATCTCAGCTTCTTGAGTAGCTAGGATTCTAGGCGTGAGCTACCAGCACCTGGCTAATTCTGAGATTTATTTCCTGGAGAGCAGTTTTGACCAGGAGGCAAGGATGACACCCCGGTGCTCCCCTGGGGTGATCAGTGTGGATGGATAGTAGATGAACGAAGATGGGTACTCTGCTGCATGAGAAGAGGAACCCCCAAGCCTGGAGAGTGAACTAGGCCCGGCGCATAATGCTTTCCCCAATGCCAAATCACACACCTGGAGGCTAATCTGCATGCAGTTGGCTTGCACGCCAAGATTTCTCCACATTCTAGCAAAGATTACCCTTGCCCTCAAATGAACTCGGGGCGAGCTGTGCAAACAAGCGCTTGGGCATGCCCAAGACTATGAAGTGGAAACAAGCCAGCCAGCCCTGAAAGTCAGCCCTCCTCCATTTTTTTCACTCCCAGGCTAGGCCAGTAAAGTTAGGCCTGAACCACTCCGGGCTTTAGATAAGTTCATGTCATAGTAGGTCAGTAACCTAATGGCCAGGCGTTCCCAGTGACCAGAAGTGTGGGCTGTGGTCTCCTCATGGGTTTTTCTAATTGAGGTAGTTCCTCCTTTGCAAGAATGGGGAACCCCAGAGCTCATCGTGGGGTTCTCCCGCCCCACTATCTGCCCTCCAGGGTGTCGGTGGGTATTCCAGGGTTGCTGGGATTGCTCTTGGGCACCAGCCACGTCCTGTGCCCACCCTTTGCATCAGTCTGCGTATCCTTTCCTCTTTCTGACACACAAGTGACCTGGCACTAGTACCTGATCAGAATGAGGCCTGGTCACGACTGGCCCTGCTCCACCTGTGTTTGACCAGATCACCGGTGACAGCAGGCCTCAAAAGCGGCAGCATGGTGCCCATTTCAATTAGAGAATTTGGCCCGAGGCTGATTTCAGATACTGAAATGTAAGTTTTCTAGGTTAAGGTAAGTACCTCAGGAATCCTGTGGGTTTAAAATATAGTTTATGAGGAGGAATGTGGCATCCATCATAATCTCTCAAATTGCTTTAGAGCCACACTACATGTGTAAAATGTCAAAGCAAGGATTTGCTATCCAGAAAGCTTTACTGACAGTAACAGCTTGGACATATTTAGTTTCTGATAAACTTTCCCATTATCAATCAGTTCATGTGACTCCTTCAATCTTCTACAGCATTCTATCTTTTCTACCCTGTTTGTCAAGAGTAACAGGGCAGTATTGTATTTGTAAATACTGTCTGTCAGCCAGGAACTGGTGGCTCATGCCTATAGTCCTAGCTACTCAGGAGGCTGAAATCTAAGGATCATAGTAAGAAGCCAGCTTGGGGAGAAAAATTCTGTGATTCTTACCTCCAATTAACTAATAAAAAGTTAGAACTCACATAGTAGAGCACCATCCTTGAGCAAAAAAGGCAAGCAAGAGTGTGAAGCCCCAAGTTCAAGACAAACACACACACAACATAATAATATATTTTTCTTTCTATGTGTCCCTTTCAGATTAAACTCCATATCCTACATGAATCTTTTCTTGTGCCTGAGATATTTTGTTAACCTGCTTTCTCTTCTTTTTGCTCCATTCTCAAGACTTCTAAAATAGTTCCCATAAGGTTTAAGTTTATAAAATATTGCACTTACTTACTCAAACATTACGGACATTGTTCCTAAAATTCTATTCCAAGGTTCCCATAACTCTGGAGCTCTCTACATGTTCCTAAGTTCCAGGCATATAGTAGTATATCTCAGAAGGGTTAAGATGGGTAATTCAACGTGCATTTAGTTGGAGCAATTATTCTGGATACTGAAGTAGAATTGGTTTGGTTTGGTTTGGTTTTGGTCATGGGGCCTGAATTCAAGGCCTGGGTGCTGTCCCTGGGCTTTTTTGCTCAAGGCTAATAGTTCTACCACTTCTGGCTTTCTGGTGGTTAATTGAAGATGAATCTCATGGACTTTCTTGCCTTGGCTGGCTTTAAACAGTGATCCTCAGATCTCAGCCTCTTGAGTAGCTAGGATTACAGACGTGAGCCACCATGGGCTAGTAAAGAAAATGCTTTGAAGGTCCTGCAATTCCTCTTCCTGGATTCTTGAGTGAGTACCGCCCTTTTAAAATAGAAGTCTACTTTCCTGCTCTTGGTGTCTCTCCCCTCTTTCTTATTTAGGTCATAGACAGTCTGCATTGTACCGTATAAAAACCAATTAACCTAGTAAGAAAAGACCAACTTTATTTCTTGGCTGTAGGGCTGCCAAGATGAAACAAAGACATAGGGAAAAGGAAGCATTGAGGAGGAGCCAGCATGGGTTTTGGAAGGGAGAATAGCTTCTGCTGAGTTCAGAAATAGAGGAGCAATAGCAGTAGACCTTGCTTCAGCCTGAAATGAATGCAGAACACACCAGGAGTCTTGTGAAGCATAATCAGACACAGGTACTAATCATGCAAATCTGCGCACAAATAGTTTTCCTATGAATAAATCAGCAGCATCGACCTTGGCATTCAAGGTTAAATAAGCACACAGTGGCCTCGATCAGCGTTCCCATAGTTTTCTTACACTTACCTCTCAATTGAGCCATATTTAACCCTAACAAAATGAGCTTTAGGACTTCCATTGCCTTTGCTGGAAAAAGTTCTGCTTTTCCTCGTGAGGAGATGGGGTTGGATGGTGAACAGGACTGTGGTCTAATTTTTCGTAGTCTGATGATCACACTGGCTGCATCCACGTATTTTATTTTGAATTACACATCCCTTGGAATGTGCTCTATTGATAAACATTTGGAAACCTGCTCAGAGATGCTCAAATGTGCCAAGGGGGGGAAATGTGTTTGCTTTTGGTTCTTTATAAAATACACTGAGAACTTCAAACATATTCCTGAAGGCCCAAGGTTTCACTAGTGAGAAGACTGTCCACTGTCAGCTGTGATTTGCTGTTGGATGCGCAGCGATAAGTTATATGATGTGATGGATTATGGGTAGGAAATTTTCTCCTAGCACATGGCTCACATGAGTGTACCATCCCTCTGAGCACTACATAACACAGCTATGTGTTGCCCTTACTGCGAATCTATTTAGATACCGTACGGGGCTTATTTTTCTCTTAAGTGATATGAAGTATCTTGGAAAGATAAGAGACTTAGAGTGACTGCAATACATCTAAATGAGTTCTGTCAATGTTCTGAAGGCTTGTAAGGGATCAGTTCATTTCTTCAAGTACTGATAGAGCTCAATTTGTGTAAAACACGAGGAAAGCGGGTATGAGTCAGGTGAAGCAGGCATACAGGACTCTGGTATTCAGGGACCAGTGAACAAACAGCTGGGTGTCACTGGGATGTGTGGGGTGGGGATGGCCAGGGCCACAGTTGCAGGAGAGAGGAGACACGTCCAGTGTGTCCCTGAGGCTGTCCAGGCTGGTCTTCAGTACATGGGAGGGCCTGGAAAGACCACAGTCCCAGCCAGCCATCCCTGCAGTGGGCACCCAAGTGAAGAAGGGGGTTCTTAGAGATGGTGATCCTTAAGTGAAGCATACTTTGTACCTGAAAGGGCTTTATATGCGTACTGCAAGTATAGGTAGGCACTGGCAGCCCACACTTGTAATCCTGGCTACTCAGGGGGCTGAAATCTGAGGATCAAGGTTCAAAGCCAGCCCAGGCAGAAAAGTCTGGGAGACTCTTATCTCCAATTAATCTGCAAGGACCTAGAAGTGGAAGTGTGGCTCAAGTGGTAGTGCACCATCCTGGAGTAGAAAAAAGAATAAAACAAGAGTGTAAGGCCCTGAGTTCAAGCTCCAAGGACCAGCACCATAAAAATCAAATAAGTAAAAGAAAGAAATCCAAGTACCCGTGGATGACCCTTGGCACGGAACTTCCTGTGCTGCCTCACTTTACGTTAAGGATGAGATTTCACCCTGGAGTTCTTTCTGTGCTACATGGATCCTTTCATGTAAACTTTCCTTCTGTTGGCTGTGTTCATTCAAACTAGGAAATTAATTTTAGTTTTAAATTGCTCCTTCGCTTACCTATGGTTATTTTTTTCCCAAAGAGTTGAACGCATATCATAGTATCAGAATGATACCCATTAATTTGTGCAAGGAGGATGCATTGGTGATAACTTTCAGTTTTGGAGTGACTCAATCAGTGAGCCAAGTCTAGTGATACTGAACAGTGCAAAAGAAGCCGCACCCTGTGGTGCTGAGGGCAGAAGGAAGACCTTGCATGCGTTGTCTTCTTATTTCCTTGTAGGGGAAGAGAAGCAGTGGGTTCCGACAGTGCTTCTTTGGGAGCCAGAAGCACTGCAAGCTGACCAAGCTGTGCCCGGCCGTGGGCTACACGTTCCGGTTAGCCGCTCGGAATGACATCGGCACCAGGTATGATGCTGGCTTCTCTCAACTTCCAACTTGGAGGCCATGTTTCTGGGTGTCCTGTCATATTGCCAGAAGGCATAAGGAAACCTGCTGCCCTCCACAGCTGCACATTCTCTTCCAGGAAAGCCTCCTTTGTTGGGAAAGACCTGTGGAAGGGATAAAGTCACTCTGGCCTTTCTGCGGCCTTCTGTGAAGACCCCATTAGGGGGTCTCTGAAAACAGAGATGAAAGAGACAGGCAGCTTTTGAAAGGAACCCTGTAAAGGCATGAGTACTTCAGATCTTACATCTTTTTATTTTTATTCCAAACCCTTTACTCAGTTACCTTTTCCGGTTGTGTGTGAGATGCTGGCTAGCTGTAGTTCTCAAGCCCGGGGTGGATAGCCCAGGATGGAGAGACTCGGAGCTGTCTTTGTCGCTGATCCCACTTAGGCTGTAGGAGAGGGGGGAGCAGGTGTGTGGCTCCGAGCTCTGTGCTGTGGAGGCTGTGGAAAGACCACCTTTGGGTTGCACTTGCTGTGCAACTCATGATGAAGGAATGTTTTCTTCTATCACTGCTTATGGAAACATTTCCTTTAAAGATGTGGCCAGCAGCAGCCTCCTACCTTCTCTCCGGCCTACAGAGCCTCTCCCTTTCCTGCTTGGAATTTAACAGAAGTACTTGTCCCAGCCACAGTGATGATTATAGCTTTAGAGCTCCCTAGATAAAAGGTCATGTGAATTGGAGATTGCACACACTTAGGAGAAACAACATTGTATCTATTTGTAAAACACTGAAATTGATCAATAGACCATTCTTTGTGCTCACATTGATTTGAAAACCAGTAGTTTTAGCTTGATACACAAGGTTCTAGGCTGTTCTTTCTTATAACTTTGAAGAGGAAAACTATATATTGGTCTCCAGTAACTTGGTATGTTTTTCTAAGAGTGGACGATAGGGGGCGATAGAGGAAAGGGAAAGTCATGGTATTGAATATCACATAGGTCCCTTGTCTGCCCCTTTCTCTCCTTCACAGCCGTGTGTGTGTGTGTGTGTGTGTGTGTGTGTGTGTGTGTGTGTGTGTGTGTCTGTGTGTCTGTCTGTCTGTCTGTCTGTCTGTCTCACTGTGTTCATTTCTCTCCAGTGGCTATAGCCAGGAGGTGGTGTGCTACACCTTGGGGAACATCCCGCAGATGCCCTCTGCTCCAAGACTCGTTCGGGCTGGCGTCACGTGGGTCACGTTGCAGTGGAACAAGCCAGAAGGCTGTTCACCCGAGGAAGTGATTACCTACACCCTGGAAATCCAAGAGGAAGAACACGTAAGGTTTACAGATCATGCACCCCGCGCAGGTTCTGTGTAAGACAGCATTATGATAGCCCTCACAAAAAGGTGCTCAAGAGCCACTTGCCAGATCACCACCACTACCCAAGGCTAGCCTGCGCTTCCCCGTCTTGGTAAACGGTGTCCCCTCCTTGTAGCTGGGGAAGACAGAGCTCCATGAACTTATCCTTCGCTCTGTATATAATTACTCAGCAAATCCCACAAATCATTCTTAAGAAATCCTTCAGTAGCCAGGTGCCAGTAGCTCATGCCTATAATCCTAGTGGGTAATCCTAGCTATGCGGGAGGCTGAAAACTGAGGATCCTGGTTCAAGCTGACCTCAGACTCTTAATTAACCAGCAAAAAAAAAGCCGAAAGTGAGGGTCTGGCTCAAGTGGTAGAGTGTCAGCCTTGAGCAAAAATTCCAAGCCCTGAATTCAAACCTCAGTACCCGCACCAAGAAAAATAATAATGAATGAGAATCCAGAAGTCAAACCGTATGTGCAGAGCTAATGTAGTGGTCTCTGAGCCATGTTGTTCACCCCTGGTTGTGTCAGTGTCCTGTCATTGTCACTCTGTCCCAATCCGTGTGTGTTCTGCACATGAAGCCTTCGTGTGGCCACGCCCCGCTGGGCCTATTTCCTGTCTCAGAGCCGCCTTTGTCCCTTCCAGAGGAAAGGCCAGGCCCCCATCCAAGTCCAGATGGGGTCACAGCCACGGTGTCCTTGACCTCTGCCTCCCCTCCCTCCTGTCCCCTAGGTCTCCTGTCACACATCACCTCTGAGGACAGCCCTTCCCTGACCACTCTGTGGAAGAGTGCTGTCCAGTCACACCTACCACAAGTGGCACCAGGCACTTGAAATGTATCCACAGACCTAAGGAGCTGCAGTGTTCACCCTATTAAATTTGAGTGTGAAGAGTCACGCATGGCTGCCGTGTTTAAGTCACGCCACTGTGGAAAGCAGCGCCTCGCTGTCCTGCTTTTTACCCAGCTTTAGCTTGTGTCCTAAACCACAGACTTTGTAGGAGAGTCAAGTGGGGTGGGGTGCTTTTGATGGCCTTCTAGGTCAGCTGTGTGTATGTGTGCGTGTGTGTGTGTGTGTGTGTGTGTGTGTGCGCGCGCGCGCTTGAGCCAGGCTGAATCACATCTCAAGAACACAGATAAGAACCTGGTGCCCCGAAGTTGTGCTGCAGTATTTGATGAATGAATAAATGCTTGATAGAAAGTAAATTAACTCTCTTAAGGGAGGTTTATCTTTCTCATCTAAACTGCTGTTTCTCTCTTGGTCAGAAGAGGGCACTGTTGTACCCAGTAACCTAAGATGCCCTTTTGTGAAGATCGCAGTACAAGAAGCTTTTTATTTGTGATAAATACATTATTAAATAATTGTTTTCAAGTATTTACTGCTTTGAAACAATGAAGTTGGCCAGAGCCAGGGGAAATGACAATATAATAGAATGATTTATTTTGCTTATTTTTGGAAATAGGACTGTCGATTGAACTCTAGGTAATTGCATTTTTGTTTGGCTTTTTCATTCACTTGAATCTCACCTCCATTTCTGGCTTTTCGGTTAATTGGAGATAAGCATCTCACAGATCCTTGTGCCTGGGCTGGGTTTGAACCATGATCCTCAGATCTCAGCCTCCTGAGTAGCTAGGATTACAAGCATACGCGCCAGTGCCTGCTGAAACATACCTGAATCTCCAGTGCTGTGTGTGGCACCTGGGGCTTCTGATACTCTCTGAAGCTCTGCCAGATTTGTCCCCCTGCCTAGAGTAGGAGGAGGCTACATGTGAGTTCTATAGACCATGCCCAGAGTCGGTGATGCTGATGATTCTTTCTGGCTTTTCCTTCTCAGGATAACCATTTCCACCCAAAATACACTGGAGAGGATTTAACCTGTACTGTGAAAAATCTCAAAAGAAGCACACAGTATAAATTCAGGGTGAGTTGATCACTTTGGTTACCTAAAGTAGTAGTAGTAGTAGTAGTAGTAGTAGTAGTAGTAGTTATTATTATTAGTAGTAGTAGTAATATTACTGTTTATCATTTCAAAAGAAGCATCCTGGTTAAAAAAAATAAAAGTTCACATTTGTGGCCTCTTCCATGTTCAAACTAGCATTGGGATTTTAATAGACATCCCCCATTTTAATTTTAAACTGTACTATTGAGACTGAAAATTGTCCTAATAACAGCACAGCCAGGTGGCCTGGCTGGAAATAGCAAGCCCGATGAGAGTGTATCTGTGCCTCTCATGTAGGGCCAAGTGGTTGAATTTGGTTTCTAGTAGTCACTCGGTAAATCTTTTGTCAAATTATCCCATGGAAAGAAGAACGATTTGCTACCAAAAATTCCTTCCTTTGTCCACAAGATGGCACTGTCCTACTCCTAAATAAATTGCATCATTTTATCAGGTTTTCTCGCCTTGTTTTTCCTTCCATTATACAATAGGATGTAGTTAATAATGTACTGATTTTTTTTCTATGTCTTCTTCAGAAGACACAAATACATTCACCTAAAACCTACCTATGATTTTATCTTTAGTGTTTACTAAAATGTTTAATGTTTACCAGAAGATACAGACCATAAGTGGTCACAAATAAGGACTATTAAATTAATACTTGACTTTAGAGGTAGAAACTGTGTGACTGTGTATGTATTTCACTCTGGGTTTCTGAGGACCTTGATCTTGCAGTGTTAAAAAGTCATGTGCATTATGGTGGATGAGTAGATCAAGAAAATATTGTGTGTGTGTGTGTGTGTGTGTGTGTGTGATATTCATACAATGCAATTTTACTCATTAGGAAGAATAATATATATCATTTGCAGAGAAATGGATGAACCTGGAAATAATTGTTAAGTGAAATAAAGTCAAGCTCAGAGAGACAAATGGTGCATGTTTTCTCTTATATATGAAAGCTAGGCCTAAATTGTGAAAGTGTGTACAGGGCCATACATACATATACATAAATTAACTAAAGGAAGGGACACCCCCCTGGCGGGGCGGGTACAACTGCTATGAACAACTAACTTATGCTTTTACAAGATGAATACCAGGAGGTTAGAACGTGTGTCACTGAGGATGGTGTCATAGGGAGTTGGGGCAGACACATAGAGAAAGGATGGGCAAATGAGTGAGAAAATTCCAGGTATCTATTTGAAAATGGAACCAGGTAACTTGAGAGGAGGGGTGGGGATGAGAGATGGGGAGAGCAATGGATGGAAGGGGTAACACTAACAAGACTTGTTGTACACATACACTGACATGTTGAATTGAAACCCCTTAAAATGGAGCAACGAGTTAATTTTATAGAACGTCATCCTGAGTGAATTCTCGGTTGTCTTCCAGCTGACTGCTTCAAACATGGAAGGGAAAAGCTGCCCAAGTGAAGTGCTCGTTTGTACAACCAGCCCTGACCGGCCGGGGCCCCCGACCAGACCCCTCATCAAGGGCCCGGTGACAGCTCACGGCTTCAGTGTCAAGTGGGGTACGGAATGCATTGGTTTCAATAGTGACATACTGGTAATAATAATACCAAACTCTGATTTGTGAGCATAGGGCGCATTTGGAGCATACAGGTGAGCAGCTCTCCTAATTAGAATAGATACTCCCTGGGTTGTATTCTAAAATGTAGAAGAGGGATAGACAGAGTAATAGGCCGAATTTGATCAATGTGCTATTTATAGGCATATAAAAACTATCACAGTGGAACCTCTCTGTATGATTAACATATGCTAATTAAAAAAAAAAAAGACAAGCCAGGCACTGGTGGGTCTTGCTTGTAATTCTAGCTGCTCAGGAGACACATCTGAGGATCACAGTTCAAAACTATCTAGGGCAGGAAAGTCCATGAAGCTCCTGTCTCGGTTCACGTGATAGAGCACTAGCTTTAAGCAGAAAAGCTCAAGGACAGCACCTAGACCCTGAGTTCAAGTCCCAGGACTGGCACCAAATAAATAAATAAGCAAGAAACAATGAGATTTTCTTTTCTTTTTTTTTCTTTTTTCTTTTTGTCGGTCATGGGGCTTGAACTCTGGGCTTGGGCGCTGTCCCTGCATTCTTCAGCGCAAGGCAAGTGCTCTACCACTTGAGCTACAGTGCCACTTCTGGTTTTCTGGTGGTTTATTGGAGATAAGAGTTTCACGGACTTTCCTGCCTGGGTTGGCTTTGAACCGTGATCCTCAGATCTCAGCCTCCTGAGTAGCTAGGATTATAGGCATAGGCATCGGTGCCCGGCAAAATGAGATTTTGATGTGTTGCTAAATTTTATAACTTAATGGATTCTTAAAGTTTAAAAATCTCATTTATTTATTTCATAGTTTTCCTGAATTACATATTTTCCTCCTTAAAATATTCCTGATTTGGGTATGGAAATGGATCAATATATAGTCTGTTCTTCAATAGATCACCCTTAAATTGTCGGTAGACAAAAATTAATTGAAAAATTGGCATTGAAGGTGAATTACACAAAAGAAAAAGAAAATGAACTGCAAAATTTAAGAGTGTCCTCTCAAGTTGGTTTTGTCATGTGCAGTGTTTGTGTTGCAGTGACACAGGAAGAGTTGTGTCTTCCTAGCCTTTGAGCACCTCCCTGAACTTAAGGATGGTCTATTGCTGAATGTCATGTGGAGTTTGAGGAGGAAGCCTGGATTGTCGCAAATAACTAGAAACAGCTAGTTATTATTGATAGCTAGTCAGAGGATGTAGAGCTGTGTGGTTTTCACTGAGGGCATATAATATATTAACTCAAAGGCAAAAGCAGGAAACATAGAGAAGTCTAAAATACCATCTTACCAACAGCCAAGTGGCATACAGGAGATGGAACCCCTCTGGAGGCTGCCTCAAGGTACCTGATCATGTTGAGATAGAATCACGAGGATGTCTCTTTCCCTGGATGACAAAAGACACACAGAACTACAAATCCTGGTGTGCTTTTTGGTAGACCTAGAATGCGCTTGTCAGAAAAATCCTAAGAAATTATTTAACAATACAGTATTAGACTTCATACTTGTCTTATGTCTTATGAAGCATGATACACAAGTGGAAATAGTAGGTGAGAGGTGAGAGGAAGTGAATTCCCAAAGGTTGGTCACTGGGAAACGTCCCTCCCTGTGTAAGCATGGAGACAGTGAGCTAAAAGTCAAGACTTCTCAGAGTTCATTCACAGAGTTGTGCTTTGAGGCAGTTTTGTGCCCAGAGCATCAAGCTCCCACCGGTAGACATCAGTGGACCGTATGTTGAGCTGTCATAGGGAGGGTCTCTGCACAGGCAGGACCCTCCCTCCTTAGCTACCTGCCTCCTGAGTGAGTTCTCGGGGTCCCAGCTCTGGGGTTGCACCTGGGATGGGGGATTCTCTATAGCCAACCATGACACAGGAGACATTTGCTTCCTTCCTAGACCCGCCGAAGGACAACGGTGGCTCTGAGATCCTCAAGTATTTGCTGGAGATCACCGACGGCAATTTCGAAGGTAGGGTGAGAGGCAGCTAGCTACTCCGTGCACAGGCCGCAGCGAGGCCTGCTTTTTCGAACTTGCTCCGCGCTGTTACGGTGATGGGGCAGTCACGGTCCCACGGAAAACCAGTTTGAATCCCATAGTGGCAGCTTTGCCTTTCACACAGAACTCCAGAGAGCAGTTTTTCTATGTTATTTTAAACCAGAGTTCCTAGTGAATCAAATAAATTTAAGATTCTCATCTCCAAATTAGTCGTACTTTCTGTGGGAATTCATTGAAGCGGAGGGGAGGGGAGGCGAGGTGAGGGAAGGAGGGGGAGGTTTCCATGGAGACTATAACTTGTTTCTGACCGTCAGTAATGGTTGATAGTGTTAGGTTTTTATTTATGAGCAGCGTAAACTTACCCATGATTCTTGTCTTACAGCCAACCAGTGGGAAGTGGCCTATAGTGGATCTGCTACAGAATATGTTTTCACCCACCTGAAACCAGGCACTTTGTACAAACTCCGAGCATGCTGCATCAGTACTGGTGGGCACAGCCAGGTGAGTTTGTCTCCAGCTAATAGTACCTCCTTGATCAAGTGTGGCCAAGCTGCATCGATCATACCAGAATACAATTGCAGGTTCACAATGCATTTTCAAGGGCCAAGCATGCGCCTATAATCCCAGCCAGTCAGTCAGAGATTGGGAAGACTGTGATCTAGTGCCTGCGCTAGCAAAAAGTGAAAGACCCTACCTGAAGAGTAACTAAAACAGAAGAAGGCTGGGGTTATGGTTCAAGTGGTAGAGCACTTGCCTGGAAAGCGTGAGAAGTCCTGAATTCACATTCCATAACACCAAGGGAGGAAGAAGACATTATCTCAGCCATGCCTAGTGTCACTGCCATAGGATTACACTAGGAAGTGAAAAATAGACCCTTTCAAATTGTACTTTAGAGGAAGAAAAGATAGGCCCCAATGATTATCAGCTGAATTAAGATGGCTGCCAGTTCCCTCATCACTTACTTATGCTTCAGGAACATTTGAAAATTGGTTAGGATTTGCATCCACTAAATAAAGGAGACCTGAAAGGAAGTATAGAACTTAAGAATCAACAAGGCAAGACTTGTGCACACCTGCCAATTCTGTTAAAGGGCGTCCTCTGCTGCCCTCTTCTGGCAAGTAGTGCTAGAGACCCTATAAATCTCTGAGGGCAGCAGCCCTACCTTGGTTTGTGTGACCTTGGCTCTGTGACCTTGGTCTGGCCAGGTAACCTGTCAGGAACCTTCCTCTCAGCCACATGCTGAAGGATAACCTAATAAATGCACATGGAGTACTCTGGACATAAGCTAATGGCATGAAGTTGAATGAGAGGGACATGATCCCTTGGAGAGATGCTACTTAACGGTGATGGTTTGAAACCTTCATGCTTAAGAGAGGGAAGCAGAGATGTTGACTGGCATCCTGGCATAGGAGAAGGTCTACCATTCTGAAAAAATGAACGGGTTTTCTTCCATCAACCCAACTTTAACATTTATTATTATTTTTTCTCCATCTGCCCACGGCCCCCAAGGAGGTACTGTGCTATCTGCCCTGCCCCGTAGACAGAAATTCTAAGGCAGAGCCAAAGCTCTCCGGGATGCCTTCTGGGACAGAGGACCTCCAAACCAAGGCACAGAGCCATTATGGTGTCTCCTGTGGGAGGGGCTGCGCTGCACACACCTTTACTGCTGGACCTGTAGAGTCTGTGTCCTCTGACATGGTGCCTGGTCCTTCAGACCCTACTTCCTTAGCTCAGCAGTAGCAGGACCCGCTGGCCCACAGCACACTCTGGTGGCCGACACTGGATTTATTGGCTCTCCTACTCGGTCTCTGGCCAGCCATTTATGGCCCATTCTAAATGTTCACTCAGCCATCATTTTGTGTTCTCTTCTGTCCTCATGAAGGCTCTAAGTTCAATGTAGAGCAGAATAATTATTTGCTAAAGTTATACAACACTCAAACCTATTGGTGTGAGTTCAGAAGTAATCATTCTTGTTTTCAAGTGTGCCTCCTGCAGACAGTCTACATTCAAAACACACACATCTGTAATCCTAGCTACTCAGAAGGCTAAGATCTGAGGATCGCAGGTCAAAGCCAGCCCTAGCAGGAAAGTCTATGAGACTCTTATGTCCAGTTAACCAGCAAAAGCCAGAAGTGGAGGTATGACTCAGTGGTTGAGTTCCAGCCTTGAGTGAAAAATCCAAGCAAGAATGTGAGGTCTAGAGTTTAAGTCCTCATACTGGTGCACACACACATCCACATATACACACACGCACACACACATCCACACACTGACATGAAAGTTCTTCTACCCAGGGCACATACAATAGTGTCTACACATTCAAACTGTGCACCGTGTGAGGTCAGATCTGCGTGCTGTGTTGCGTTTATGAAGAGCTCTCCCCTGTTTCTCCTGCAGTGTTCCGAAAGTCTCCCTGTCCGCACACTGCGCATAGCGCCCGGCCAGTGTCAGCCACCGAGGGTTTCAGGGAGACCAAAGCACAAAGAAGTCCACTTAGAGTGGGGTGAGTGAAGAATCTTCACCTTACCTGGACAGGGGCGGTCAACTGACGATTCATGCTTTGTCAATTAACTTCCAAAGCTTCCTTCATTTACCTGGGCCTAGATCCCCTCATTCCCTCCCCTTGCTGTTTGGACTCCCAAGGGCCCCCACCCTCCCTCTGTCCCTCATGGGCACCGGGCCCAGCCACTCCTGCCTTTCTCAGGAATCTTTCTAGATTCCTCAGCTTTGCTGAGAGCTTAAAGCAAGACACGCTTCCCAGGCTGCCGTGGGGGGGGGGGGCGCCCTGACGGGGTGGTGCTGTTGACACTTTCTTTTTTTTTTTTCTTGCTTTCTTTTCTTTTTTTTTTTTTTAAATTCACCTGAATAGTCAGGGAACTTCCACCTATTTTACTTAGGTTTTCATTTTTTTCAAATTCCGACCAGAAAAAGCTATAGTTGGAAACTAGTTACATACTAGTTTTACTCCAAAGGAGTAGGATCATTCAGATTTACTCTATAAAAGTATGCAATCCTTGGCTGGGAAGGTGGCTCAGTGGTAGAGCACTTGCCTTGCATGCATGAGGCCCTGGGTTCGATTCCTCAGCACCACATAAGCAAAAAGAAAAAAGCCTGAA